ATTTCGATAGCTTCAAGCTAGCTCTGAAAGGAAGAGTCTATGAGGCGAAAGAAAAAAATAATAAACTCGAGGAAGCAGATTCAAGCATATATGAGGCGAAAGAACAGAAATGAAGCCGAGTGACATTGATTCAGAATGCCGGATTTATTTGAACGCAGCTTTGACGCAACGATCATGTTATGCGGGCTATGAATCAATTAGAGCCATTTCTGAATTAAAAAAAATAAACATTGTGACAATTAGCGAGAATGGTGAATGTTATTTTGCTGAGGAATACAAAGAAGAATATGAGCGTACAATATTTTTGGCTTTTCGTCTATCTGGAGCAACGACCACCGAAGAATGCGGCACGCACAATACAAATCGAAATCACTATGATTCTGTCACTGATATTGATAACGCGACTCTATTCAAATTAGCTGAATATTTGAGCCAAAAATTAAGCGAAAAGGAGATAAACAACTACAGCAGTATCACACTTGACTCTACAATTAATTAATTCGTTAAGAAACCTACAGCAAAATACGAAAACTATTTATTTTTGAGGGACTTCTTTTACACCAAAAATTACATATTAAGTACGCTTTTCTTCAATGCAATCAAAAGTTATTTTCAAAATACAATTTAGCTATAACGTTATTAAAGGTTCACTTCAAATTATTATTCCTAACATATGGAAGTTTTCTATGTAGATATTTAAACAGTACAAAAAAAAAAACAAAGTACAAAGTAATTTCAATCAAAAATAGATTTTACATTACATTTAATACTTTACATTAAATATATATTTTTCTTTCTCTTTAAAAAAACAACATCATACTGGTGCAATAAAAAAAATAATGTCGCGACTGAGTGTCGAACGAGGTATTTCAGATCGTTGGAATATGTACTTTCTAGTTAATTCAATCAATTTTGTAAACTGACTGTATGTTTATAGAAATAACAGAGTAAACATTTGCATATTTGTTTATTTTTTATATCTGAAACGAAAAATGATTTAGCTCATTAAAACAACAATTGATATACATATTTGAATTGCCTTTATATTTCATTACAGTTTTTCAATGTTTAAAAAAAACAGTCTTGTTAAGAAATACTAATTGTAAATTTTTTATAACGTTGAACCCTTTTTTTGGAATATTTTATGCTACGCTTTAGACGTTGAAATGTTGTTAATTGACTTTTGTCATAGCAGTTTTTGCTTCTTTGAATACGGTCACTACTCAATTTAACTGGCTCCTTTGTGAAATACCAGCACAATGCAGTTTTTTTATATACTAAAGGTGTGCGACCGCCAATTATTTCAACATATGGAGAAGTCTCATTGATATTTTTCTTATCAATTGTCCCAGCATAATTTTTCAGATTCAAGTTTTTCAAATTAAATATGATTAATTCCTCATCATCTTCAATATTCATTGAGTTTAGCTTCTTTTGTACAGCTCTTGTTGGATCATATGGAAGTAAAGGAGACTTTATGCCGAAGACAGGTTTTTTAATGAGACCAATTTCCATTGCGTCAAAAATTGCTCGCTCCTTGCATTCTTCAATAATTTCGATGATTTCAGCTTCTTCAGGTAAAACAAATGTGGTATCAGATGAATTATTTGAATGTGAGCCCCTCGGAAATTCAAATTGAGATGGCGACGCTTCAATGTTGTATGAAACTTGAATCTTTTTAATTCTGTCCAAGAATTCCTTTGTCGTACAATTAGTAACAGTAGAGTATACAGTGGACACTGATCTTATTGACCGAAAGAATGATTCGCAGGCCTGACTACTAAAATCTTTTGGTAGGAACAGACTTTGTTGGTTACTCTTTTTCAGAAATAAAATGATGAGTATCATGCTGTGTGCATTTAGTTCCAAACATATATAACAATTGGCACTCAAAAAATTGTTTTTCAGTGTCAGTCCTTTTGTTGCACAAATATATTGACGCCATAATCTCAAAATAAAAATTGAGTACCACATTTTATCTATTCGTTGTTGTGGCGAAAGTGTTGCATCTTCATATGCCATCATTATATTTTGCATTATTTCAAGAAATTTCGTTGTTCCATTGCTATTTCGTACACGTTTTTTCAGTAAGTCTATTACTCGCTGGTCACAGATACGCTTAGCTGATTCATAGTTTTGTCGATCGACTGGATTGAGTGTAGTTTTAGTTAATAAATGTTTATCTTTACTTTCCTTTTCCATTAAAATCTGTAGATGGTTTGCATCAATGCCAAATCTTTTTCCAAATCGAAATTCTTTTGAATGACCCTTTGTCTTTAAGAACCAGTTTCTAAGTTTCGTAACATTATGAGGAGTATCTTGTACATAAAATGGATGATTCAAACTACTTCCGCAGCTAAACCATTCAGCATTCTGTGATATGGTCGATCTAATTCCAAGGTTAGATAAATTTCTCATTGCAGTATTATTTTTCGGGTCACTGTCAGATACAATAGTCAATACGTTGATATTACGCTTATTCAGTTCAGCCGTGATGAATTTCCATCTCTTTGATATCTGGTTTGATGTGTATTTTGAATCCGTTCCGAAAACTGTTAAACAAAATGACGGTGCATCACCAAGAGGCTTGGCCATTATTGCATTCATGAAGCTAGCAATTGGAGTACCATTTGAGAAGTGATTTGCAATTTCTGATGCAGATCGAGCCTTGTAAGAAAATGACACTGGTAATCCATTATGATCCAAAGGCAATACAAATCCAACCAATTGATTGGAGTTAGCATCATACTGCACCCGATTTATTACACGTGTTGCGTCCTCTGATATACACACCCATAGTGGAAGATTACGTTGCTCCAAATACCCTAGAAGTTCGTCACATCGTAATTCACCTTCAATTATTCGGTGATAGGGTCGTGCCATGTACCGATTTGTTGTACTTAAAGATGGCAATGCAAGCGGTAAATTTTTTTGAAGTGTATTATAAGCTGTTTTGCCGGACAAAAAGGCCATATAAGACGCAAAACCTTTTAATTCCTCATCAAAACGATAACCACCTTTTGGCCTTGTAGCATTTTCATCTGCGGCTTGTAAAAACTTACGCAAAATACGATGTGTTTGAGTATCCAATCGCTCCGTTTGATTATCCTCACGGGTTATCTGTTGTTGTGAAAAATACCATTTGGTTGACCAAACTATGATATCATTACTTTTCATAGAAAAGTGTGTGGTGCCTTCAACATTCGATACATTGTTGACATGTTTAACAATTCTCTGGATCAAATCCAAATCGTAATTGCTGAATAGAAAATTTTGATTTGTGTTGTGATTACCGAAAAAATTAATTTTTTCAGCTTCCTCAAAATGGAAGTTACTGCTTTTGCATTTAATTTCAATTAATGCCATAAGATCATCCCGAACGAATGCTTCCATTTTGAATGACAACGCCTCTGAATATCCAAAAAAACTTTAATATTTAAAATAAAAAAATTACTCAACAATTCAAATTTGATTCAAAATATTGTATTAACTTACAAAAACGCATTTTTAATATAACTTGGTATCAAAGTTTCCAATTCTGTTTCGATTTTATGCCACAATACTTCTGAATCTCTCGTTATTTCCATTGTATTGAATGAAATTAATCGATTCGATATACAGAAATATAGTTAACTATAAACAATTATTTCTTGTTTTATATTTAATTATTTAATATGTAATTAAATGAAACTATTGTTTTGAAGAAATCTCCTTTTATAGCTACTGTTGTGTGAACGAGTTGAGTGGTGACGTTTACATTGTGACATATACAAAATTAAGCCTTTAATGTCGTGTCAAATTTAAAATTGAAACAATAGAAAATGAACAATGGTTGAAAAAATTTCGCTTTCGATTTATTTCTGAAATATATAAATTTGTAAGAAAATGTATACATTAAATTTGTATTTATTTCTTTAATCCCTTTGCGTGTAAATATTTGTTCAAAATTTCGTCGCAGTTCAAATTCGATTCATTTTCCCAACTGTCATGATTTGAAGAGTAGTTCTTCCAACGTATAAGAAAACGTCGCTGTCCTTTTCTTCCACTGTGGCTCAATATAGCTTCTACTTCGTATTCTTTGTTTCTTCCGAGATCTACCGATGATTCAACTTCTTCACATAGTTTCACGTGTGTATTGGCCATTAGCTGCTTGATTTTGTTTTGTGCTTGATTTTTTTCTTTTGTCAGTTGAGCAATGACTTTGTTTTGTTCCATGCATTTCTCTTTCAGTTCATTTCTTTCAGATTGAAGTGTTGCAATCATTTTCTGTGAACTTTGAAAATTGAAATACATAGTTTGACTTTCATCTTTTGTCGCAACGAGCTCTTCAACGAGTTTTTCTTTTTCATTTTTCGCTGCTTCAATTTGCGCTTTGAGATCAGATACATTTTTTGAATTATACGGGAGTTCAGACTTGTTTTTGGTTTTTGAACGACACTGGACAAAAGATGTTTCGAAAGGAACGTTGTTTATGTCATTTTCCGTTTTTACGATCGGAGCTCTTTCACGCTTGACTTGGATTGTGTGATTTACCGGTTTCACTGATCCATTTGCAGCAAATTTCTACATGGGATATATATTATCAATTACCTATTAATGGGAAATTTTCACAAAATATCAAACACTTACGACTGGGTCCAAAATAAATTCATCCATACGAATCACAGCGTTTTTGAAATCACTTCCTCGACCTTTAGTTGCATATTTGGTACGATTTTGCACATAATCGCACACAAAATCTTGATGAACGAAACCGCTAAAAATATTTTTTAATGTACCAATTAACAAATACTTATACTTCCAAAATAAATTCAAAACTTACAACGTTTTTGTTCCAAAAAATAGCACGCAAATTTTATTTTTTGGCACCTTTCCCAGCTCCAATGGAGTAGAGACAATCTTGAAATAAAATAAAATGATATAAAATGTATACAACAAAATCGAAATTTTATCTCACCCGAGCTGGCCAGAAAGGGCAATATTTAATTTTAGCCCTACAATATAAAAAATACGAATAATTAGATTTTTTTAAATGAAATTTGAAAGGAATCTTACCAAACCGTTTCCATGTTGAAATTGTGTTGTGTGTTTCGCAAACGTCAAATCCTCTTCTGCGAAATACAGTCACTCGCGCGCTCGTTTGTGTTACACAGCATCACACAATCGTACAACATAAACGTGTCATAGTGTGCATTGCATACAAAAGAAAGAACGAACGAAGCAACAAGAACGATGCATACACCGATAGCTCTTTTGTACAGTCGGTGTATTCTTAATACTTTCGGTATGTGTTTTATACTTTTCGGTGCGTTTAGTACTTTGGTACTGATTCGCCCCTCGGTCGTGAAACTTTGGGAAACTTAATTTTCTGCCAAAAAAATGATCTAGACAAAATTTCATGACAATTGGTCGATAAATGAACATAGCTCAAATTTCACATTTTCACCGAAGTAAGTAAAAAATGAAGTTTGTCGATAATTTGTCATATTGAAATTTTTTATTTTTAATCCGAT